TGGGATGGCCACAAAAACTGTCAGGGGCTGTTCTCTCACGGCTTTTAAAAATAGCGCAGCTTTGGCCAGGCGAGGTGACTCATGCCTGTAATCCCAGCACTTTGGGAGGCCAAGGCAAGCAGATCACCTGAGGTCAGGAATTCGAGGTCTGCCTGGCCAACATGGCTAAACATTTCCTTAGCAGCTGAGCTACAAAATTAGCCAGGTGTGATGGCAGACACCTGTAATCCCAGCCACTCTGGAGGTTGAGGCAAGAGAATTACTTGAACCCAGGAGTTGGAGGTTGCAGCAGTGAGCTGAGATTGCACCATTGCACTCCAGCCTGAGCTACAGGGTGGGACTCTGTCACACACACACACACAAGCACAGCTTTGTACCATCATTAGCTTGTTTTGGTGGCATTTGTCTTGAACCAGCAGACATATATAACACAGGTTCCTGGGAATGGTCTGCAGAGCTGCATATTCAGTTTTTTTGGGGAGAGTCTACCCAGACTCCAGATGATTCTGAGGTGGGTGCTGTGAGGACTACGATTTACTGCTCTAACACACAGCTGTGTTTAACCTTGCAAAATGAGTTAAGGTTAAAATAACTAAATAATTAGTCTCTGAGGCTAGGCCAAATACAGTGACAAATACTCTGGTGTCCTGGTACATGTGGATTTGGTCCTAAGCTGTTCTGATTCAGGAACTCCACTTAATTTATCTATGGGTGGTGATAAAACTAAAGAGAATCAATACTTGATAACTAATCTCAAGAATTAATTCATGTTCACAGGGCACATATCCAGTAATGGCTAGATAGGATTCCTTTTGTTATCAATATTATGAGAAATAAATTTAAGAATTAGTACAAGGTTTTACAAAACACTAAAGCAATAGAGTTATAAAATATTTAAAATAGGTTGTTAAAATCTAGAGCATTGTTCCTTGTTTTTTTTAAAATTTATTTATATATATATTTTTATTGCACTTTAGGTTCTGGGGTACATGTGAAGAACATGCAGGATTGTTGCATAGTACACACATGGCAATGTGGTTTGCTGCCTCCATCCCCATCACCTATATCTGACATTTCTCCCCATGTTATCCCTCTCCAACTCCCTACCCCCCGTCCCTCCCCTAGTCCCCCCAACAGACCCCAGTTGTGATGCTTCCCTCCCTTAAAAAAAAAAATCTGAAGAGAAATGTGTGTAAGCTTTTACCTGCATGCAAAGAGCCCGATCTTCAAAATAAAAGAGGGGTTGGATAAATGGTGCTTATAGTTCTATTTATTACAAGGTAGTCACATTCCAACTGGATAATATGTTATTATTATTATTTTTAGAGATAGGGTCTTGCTCTGTCACCCAGGCTAGAATGCAGTGGTGCAATCACAGCTCATTGTAACTTCAAGCTACTGGGATCAGGCAATCCTCCCACCTCAGCCTCCTGAGTAGGTAGGACTATAGGCACATACCACCACACCTGCCTAATTATTATTATTTTTGTAGAGAAAGGGGCTTCACTATGTTGCACAGGTTGGTCTGGAACTCCCAGTCCCAAGTGGTCCTCCTGCCTCAGCCTCCCAAAGTGCTGAGATTACAGGGATAAGTCACCATGCTTGGCCTTCGATAATGCTTTATTCAGTTACAGCAGAAGCCAGGAAATTCCTATTCTTAATTAGGTCAAGAAACAAAACATTTAAAAATCAGTATTTTAATATTTTTAAAAAATGGCCATAGAAAATATCAAGGAATAAGTGTAATTACATCCCACGGCAACCTAGGAACTCTTCTCATTTAATTATTATGATGGTTAACTTTATATGTCAACTTGACTGGGGTAAGGGATGCCCAGATAATAAAATGTTATTTCTGTGTATGTCTGTGAGGATGTTTGTGTAAGAGATTAGCATTTGAATTGTTACACTGAGTGAAGAAAATTGCCCTAACCAATAAGAAAGCATCATCCAGTCCACTGAGGACTGGAATAGAACAAAACGGTTGGGGGAAGGGCAGATTAGGTCCTCCTGTGAGAGCCTGGAAGCCCATCTTCTCCTGCCTTTAGACATCAGCACTCCTGGTTCTCAGGCCTTTGGGCTGAGATTGGGACTTACATCATCGGTTCCCCTAGTTCTCAGGTGTTTGGGTTTGGACTTTACTTCACCACCAGGTTTCCTGGGCTTCCAGCTTGCAGACAACAGACGGTGGGACTTCTCAGCTTCCACATTCATGTCAGCCAATATTTCATAATCAATCTCTTTCCACATACCTATATCAATCCTATTGGTTCTGTTTCTCTGAACTCTAATACAATTACAAATTCGAAATTTGTGATTTCTGGTCTCAGGACAGAGCTAAGCTGAAGGCAAATTGGCAGTTCATTTCTCCCAATTACCCACAAAATTCAAAACTACCAAAAAAGAAGCTGTTTCTAAAAGAATATCTGAATTTAAGCATATGTGTCAACTGTAAATATTCTAAAATATGCCACAATTTGAAGGCCTCCAAAATGAGAGATTAGAGCTAAGTTTGTAAGTTTATACAAAGTGCAAATAAGTTGCATGTTTCTAAACAAGTGCTTGGGAGGGGCACTGTATCACATGCGCCCTAGTCCTACTGATTTGTTCAAAGTGAAGAGCCTCTTACATATTGTGTGTTCTTACAGCTAAAAATTTTTAACAATTAAATCAGAACAATGGTTCATCTGGACAGATTGTAACATCTTTATTCCATTTCTCACCTAGGTTTTTTTTCTTTCCTGTTTTTATTTTTCCTAATTTTACTATCAGTTCTGAGGTCTTCTCCTTCTCTTAGGACTTTAGACTCAGGAATGCTAAATTTTCCTACTTGTTTTTTTCTTTTAAAATTGCTTTGTTAGCTTGGAGTGAAAGGACTGATCTTCTTGACTTTTGTTTTAAAAGGCTCTGTAAAGAGGCTACTGCCTTTTCCTTCCATTGAAGTAGTGGGCATGAAGCCTAAGGAAATGGATAGGTTATATTCTGGCTCCATGTTCTCTGCTTTGCCTATCTTTAAGTTTGCATAGTGAAACCTAATGGCCACCAATTCTTTGTGCTCTCTGCAGCTATACCTATCCTTTGTCATTGACTTTTGCAGTTTCTCTCAGTAAAGACATGGAATGTATTCCCCATACCAAGCCTTGTAATTTGCTTTGACCAACAGAATTTGGGGGATGTAAAGATGTGCCAGTTTTCAACAAAGGCCTCCTTCTGCATGCCCATACTTCTGCCATTGCATGAGAACATCCCTAGGTTAGCCTGCTAGTGGATCAAGGAACTCATCCAAGTGTCCACAGTCAACCTAGGCTAACCATGTCACACTGGTCAACAGCCAATCAGCCCCTAGACCTGAGTGCAACACAGCCAAGATCAGCAGAGCCCTCAGGTGATCCAAAGATGGTCACAAATGTATGAGCAAGTCTAACTGAGATCAGAAGAGTCTTCCCAGAGTAGTTGAACCCCACATCCCATGAGCTAAACAAATGCTTATTATTAAGGTTTTATGGTTCCCATGCAGCCTGACTGTGGCAATAGATAACTGATACCACAGGCAGTGGATGTAATGTAATTAATTCCTGCTCTCTGTAGCAGCCTCATTGTGGTCACTTAACCTCACAAAAACACAAGCTGACATTATATGTCAGTGAAGCTTTTGGACCCTAATTATAGGTTTAAGCAGTAGTGTTAGTGGTGGTTTACTGTATTATCATTAAATTCTCCACTAATGAATTTAGAAAGGCCTCTGAAAAAGCTGGCATACTGTAATAGTGAATTTGGGTGTGAGAAAAGATACTCAAGAGAAAACCACAAAGATTATCTATCAGTCATCTATCTGTGCTTTCACAGTATATATAGTATACTGAGCCTTGATTATAGCATGTGTATATATACATATATATATGTGTGTAATATATATATATATATATATATATATACATGATATATAATCTGAAGGCACAGTACATGTATTAGTCAATTTTGTGTTGCTGTACCAGCATACAACAGACTGGGGAATTTACAAAGAAAAGAAATTTCTCAGAGTTCTGGAGGCTAGGAAGTTCAATATTAAGGTGCCGGCATCTGATAAGGCCTGTCTTGCTGTGTTAAGCCACGGTGGAAGGTGACAGAGCAGACAGCATACCTAAGAAAGTGAGAGAATCCAATGTGCTTTTGTAACAAAACCACTGGAGATAGCAAACACACTTCTGTGACAATGACATTAATCCATTTATAGCCTCTGCCCTCATGATCCAATCGCTTCTTCAAGGTCCCACCCCTCAACACTATGGAATTGGGGATTAATTTTTCAACACACAAACTGTGGGTGACACAGTCAAACCACCGCAGTATGAAAGCAAAACTTGTTCATTTGTTCTCACTTCGATTTTCAGTGACCTGCTCAACACGTTGCTGGGAATCAAGTGTTTTCTCAGGAATGCTTCATGTCAGCATTACTTAGTGGTAGACAGGATGTTTAAAATGTTTGTTCATCAGAATGTATCAGTTTTCTTTTTAACAAATTCTATTTTAAATGATTCTTCTATTTCATAGATAGCTTTTAATATTAGAATCAAGCAACGTGATTCTCGACATTGTTTCCCACTGAATGACTTCAGAAATTGATTAAACCTACTAGAGTGGCTAAAGTCCAGCACATGGATAAAAAGCACAGTATTTAAGAGCATGAAACTAAAAGTAGATTTGAAAAGAACTCAATGTCAATAGCATCTAGTTATTAAAACACTCAATAGGTTTTATGTACACATTTTTATATCCAATATTACTTTTCTCTATCAATAAACCTTTTACCTGTAAGATAGAGAATCATATAATTATATGTATGTGTAACGAGAGCAACAGGAGACGGTTAGTGCGCATGAGAGAAATTGCAGGAAAATGCGCAGATGTATCAGGATACAGGCTCTCTCTCTTATTTTCATAAATGTGCATTCAAAGCTCAGATTCTATCAGTGAACCAGCCGAAAAATATCAAAGTCATCTTGTGTTGAAATTACTTTTATTCAGGATGAAAAATACAATATGTAACCAGATTAGATGATAGTCTGTGATTAGTTCTTTACCACATATTTCAAAAGAAATACATACTTACTTCCCATTGTTGTTACTGCAATATATTTCTTTTTATTTATTGTTACTTAGAAGGTTACAATGTAGTGTTTTATGTAGCTTTTCCTTAATAGCAGATAGAGGACACTTGGCTTACAAAGACAGGCAGTAAAAAAATTAACACATGACTTTTTAAAGTAAGAAAAGGAAGACACCAAATCTACAACATGGAGTTCAGAGTCCAGGGAGTTGTTTTCTTTAAGCAGGTGCTTTCTTGGGTATGACATGGCCTGATAAAAGCTCTAGACTTTGCAGACTGCAGCAGCATAAAGCAATTTCCAATGTAATGAAGGAAGATGGATCTGAGGTAGAAAGGTGGTCATGGCTTTCCTTTTATATAAAACAATTTTCTTCTTTTCAAAATATCTCTGCTGCAAATAGACACCCTTGCCCCCCAACCCACCCAACCTATTCTAAAATAATAGCAATTTCTAACTTTAAGCCTCCTTACGGCCAGATCCAAGAAAAAGAGAACTCAAAGTTAAAAAATATCTTTATGTTTTAAATGCACATATATTGGAGTCAAAACACATTATTTTCACTTGTTTTTTGGTTTCTCTGCATTTGGTAATTAAGTAACATGTTTAAACTGAATCAATAAAATGTTAAATCAGAAGTTGAACCAAAATACTTAATTGAATGCACTCAAACATATAGGTGGAGGTACCATCATCAAAGCATTAATTTCATTCTTCTGTAGAAGCAGTGACATAGACTTTTGATAAACATTCTTTCCAAATATATTGATTAAGTGAATGGTATAAAAACATCTGCTCTTTTACCCAAAAGGTAAAATAAGCCATGCACTAAATGTGTGTCTGCTTTCAGTAAGAAAACAGGAGTTTCAAGAATTATTAAGGACTTGAAAACATAAAACAACAATAAAATTCTCTTTGAAGGGAACTAAAGACAGTGGTGCATTCTGGTATCACAATAGGTAAAGTCTGCTGTGCATGTGATGGTGAAAGTCAAGATGTGGGAACTAAGAAAGGTTGTACCAAGTTTTGTTTCTGTGTCAAAATGAAAACATGCTTAAATGGGCAAACTTTGGTAAAATAATCTTTGAGATTATTATAATGGAGTCTTTTTTATCAAATAGATTAAGACACAAAATAAATAATTAAGTCCTACTTATACAAAAAAAAAAAGAATAAAACACAGGAAAAAATATCCCAGCAGAAATGCCATTTAGGCCCATAGGATTTTTATTATGGTTATCCAAGTGGTCACGAAAGAAGTAAGTGGGCAATGAGAAGCAAATTTAAACAGCATACACAGGGCTGTAGCTTAAACCATAGGTGAAAATATATATTTGATTGAAATTTATGAATTTATTAATATGGCCAAATCATGGAAATAAATATATGGGATCTATTTGGTTATATGGCTGATTAACTATAAATAACCAAAACAGTGTGGTAAAAGAGTCAAAGAAATAATGAAGTTATTGTGCAAGGTTAATATGAACAGCAGAAGGAATGTAAAAATGTAAAGTGGTCTTCTAATTCTTATGTAAATTTTGTCATGGTTATTAAAAAGACGGTATCATATTAGAAAGCCCCCACCCACTTTCCCAATGCTGTATACATTATAGAAATCTGTGACAAACGTATTACCATTTCCAAATACCTCTCTGTTCATTAATTTACAGTTGCATAGAAAGGGAAGAAGAAAACAATAATATATGGTTATTATAAAAACAAAATATCCATTTCTCTTTGGATAGTCAGTGTTTTACTCTTTCAGTAGAACACACAGTCACCACTCAACACTGTGGGTCAAGGAGCCATGGAGCTTCTGATCAAATGGAATTTGGAATTGGTGTTTGCTGAAAAGGACAACACTGTACATCAGGAAACATTGGTTGACCAGATGAATACTTCACATTGCCTGTGGGAAGGGAAAATAGCACTGTCAAACAATTGCATAAAACATTACAGGTAGCAGAGATCTGTCAATTCTTCAAGGAAATAAAAGTGCTTCTTTCAGAAGGTGTCCTAACTCCTATGTGACTGTTAAATACAGTAGGAGATTCTTCTTCAAAGGTTTAGCTAGCTGAAGTTTCCTTGTCCTTTGTTCCCTGCTTTCAAGGCTAGACTTCCTTATTCTCCGTGTTCCCCTGGCCCTGGTAAACAACCTTCCCACCAGTCCTTATCTATAGAGCCCACATTCCACATCTGCTACCCACTCTGTGAATTACCCCTGCCATTGCAATGGCTACTGCTGCTGAAACTGATCTTCTGGCCTTCCTACCAGGGTAACTGCATTCCTGCCCTTTTCAAGTTAGCCAACTGGGTTCAGCTTAGTAGTGTGGTCTAACCCTAGCCAATGGGGGAACAACACAGGATTAGGGGCTACCTGCATCAGGGTTAAGAACCCCTTCCTCTCCCCTGTTCAGGTGTGCTCTCGCCATTGGGCCATCCGTGAGACACATCCTTCTACAAAAGTAAATTGCCTTGCTGAGAAAATTCTTTATCTGAGTTCTAGTTCTTCTTTTCAGTACTGAGGATCAAGCATGCATTTCTAACATGACTTTTGCTTCCTGTAATGAGGTCCCTCCCTCTCATGCTGAAGTAACCTAGTCTGCTTTCCATCACTGCAGCTGATTTAGAGGGAAGCCTGGAAGTCTTTTGTCTTGACCAGGCTGGAAGCTAAGTTAAAATTGAGAGGACTTCACTTCTTTCTGCTGGAGGTATCAATGGTGAATGAATGAGACTAGTGAAAATGTCCCATGTCTTCCTGGGGGACTGTGGGGGTCATCTGTAGAGGAGGTACCCTAACAATGCCAACCCATCTCAGTCCCAAGCTGGAGTCCAGAGATGAGGAAGAGAAGGCAGAAATCATAATCCAAAGGTGTGCAGTGGTGCCAGTTAAAGTTAAATGTCCCAGGCCAGAAATAATATAAATCCAGGTCATACTCATGGAAGTGGTATTAACCTTTAGAACAGAGGGTCAAACATTTGGTCTTCTAGAAGGATTTTGAGATTAGAAGAAAATGTTCAAATCTCTGTAAAATGAAATCATCCAAATTGGACGATGCCTCACAAATCATGAAAGGCCTTTCTGGACTCTCAGGAAAGATACTCCATCTATCTTTACACCTTATTTTATGGGAGGCTTTAGCATAAAGTCCTGTTCCCCAGAAGCAGGTTTCTAATGAAGCTGCTAGAAAAGCTGCCCATGGAGCCCCTCGTCTTCCCGGTATGCTGAAAGCAGCAAACTCATTTGACTCTGGCCTAGAGCCTATTCTCCATGACTATTCAAATTTGGATTCTTCAGATACTTGCGTCTCCATTTTGAACATCTGATTGCCATGTTAGAGGGAGCAAAAATTCAGCAAACGCTGACGGGTTCCAGGCATTGTACTGAGGTGAGGCTCTCTTGGGAAGCAGGTGTGAAAGATATCTCAGCCAGGCAGCCTCATTCAATTCTAATATGAGGTAAGTGCCAACCACAGTAAATTCAAAGTAGTTTGAGGACAGAGAAGGGGAGAGATTAACTCTATATGAGAGAGGAACATTTTGTTTCATATTAATATTGATAACTGAAACTCTGGTGCTGAATCATGTTGAATATAAAGCCAAGAGGATGTTTGAATTATGTCTATGTACTCCATTACCCTTGAGAATTAGATATGTCTATTAATTAGACACATAATACTTCTCATTTTAGGTGTCAGGATTCTAAAAATTTAAGATCATGCTATGTACATATTAGCTCAACCCTCCAGCTGAAAATATATACTTTCATGAATTTCCATTTGACCCAAGACACAAAAAACGAAGAAAAGAGAAGAGAAGGAAAATGCTGACAAGGAAAGCAAAGAACAAAAAACAAATGGAGAGGGAAGGATGAAAATGGGAAAGAGGCCTCCTGTATTGAGTCAGATGTTTGCTCCATCCATTAGGTTGCTGTATAACCAGGAAACATTTAGCTCTATGTTAACTCAATTTCTAAAATCTAAAAATGGAGTAGAAGGAGAAGGCCTCTGAAGATCATTTCCTGCTTTAAATTCTGAGCACTTGTATTATCATAAGTATCTGAAGATTTTAAAAGATTCTCCCTTTTTTCCTTGCCTTTGTCACTCACAGCCTCATTCTACCTGAGGACCATCAGGACTAACCTCATCACACCCTTTATCCTTTATTTGAATGGGCCACCATAAAAAGCTCCAGGCTCCTGGTCACCCTTCTATTACCTGTATTTATACTGGTCATACAAAGATCTGCTTACCCCTTTTTGTGTCCCCATGCCCCGCCCTTCCTGGCTCTTGAAACCTGTCCTATTAGGTCATGTGGCCCGCAATCCACAAAACCCATGTTCCCAGACCCTTCTCTGAATGTTGCCTGCATCTACTTGCTTGAATCAGTATTTGCATCTACCTGAAGACACAGCTTCCCCCATAACCCTCTCACGTAGTACTTCCCCTGCCCACCCTCCCCAAATTAGTCACACGCTGCATGAGTCTTTTTCTGGGTCCTCATTGAGGCCTTTGGGGTATCTTTTTTCTTTTCTCCCTGAAAATACTCAGCTTTGAATCTCATGTCATTGGACTATAACAATCCATAATGCAGTAATCTACTGATTCCGTGGGTCATGTTCCTTCACTTCTTGAAGTAAAAAAAAAATGGCTCAATGTCTCCCACTCTAAAGCTATTTTTAAATGTTAGTGATTTCAACACCCATGGAGATGATTCTTCTAACACTCTGGATTCTCAGTTCTTTGAGCTCTTCTTTCAAAGGTCCTGTCCTCCACCTTTCTTAGCCATTCACACAAATGTCAAAATATGGACCATTACTAATACTTGCAACCCCTCTGATTTCAATATCATTCAACACAACTTCTGACAACCACCTGTACCTTCACAGCTCGCTTCCCCTACAACTGCAAATTTATCCATCCTTTGATAATAGGATCCATTGATCCTCCCATCTTTATTTCTATCTCCCACACTGGACATTTCCTCATTCCTCTCGCTAATGAGCTTAAGCATCTAGTTCAATGATGATAATCACGTCTTTGCTCTTCCCTTGAATTATTGTACTTACTTTGCCAAACCCCAACCTCAACTTTTTAAATGCAATACTCGGCCCACTCTGGTGCCTGTGCTCATGAACTTGAATATGACTAGAGGGCAACTTACAACTCTGCAGAATGGCCTCATGTGAAATTCACGAGTGGCACCTTTAATGCTGGTTGTAGTCACACTCTATTTCCCAGGCCATCTGCTCTTCTGTTCTCCAAGAAGCTATCACACATCCTCCAGTCTCTCCTCACACCTCTGACACCTCCTCCCCAACCTCACTCCCTGCTAAAGTCCCAGCTTCCAATTCACTCAGACAACAGAAGCAAGCAGAAGGGAACACCCACAGCTCTCACCACACCGTCTACTTCACATACTCCTGTCTTTTAGTTAAGATCCCCAGCCTCTCTTGCCAATAAGACAATCATTCAGAGGTTTCATTGTTTCAAAAAGACTAGTAAACAAGTTCATGAAAGAAAATGTTCTCCAAAGGTACCCTGGCTTTGTGGCACATTATTACTAAAAGGATGTGATAAGAAAATGGGAATGGAAAACAAAATCTCAGGATCCCTAACTCACTATGTAAAGTAAGTGTGGCAGCTGAGTCACACAAAACCACCTTCCTAAACAGATAGTTGCATAGAGAGAAGGCCAGTGACCTCGTTCACAAATTGCTCACAAGGAAATTCCTATGGGCCCCCAAATCTTTACCCTAAAACAGAGTTCTGTTGAATTTCACCCTGACAATGTGAATTAACAGCTTATCTTTACAGGACAAAGACAGGCCTAGAAGTCATCTCTCCGCCCACCCTCAGAAAAATGCGTATTTGACTGCTTCTTCTACTCTAGACATACTTTATCTTATATAAAATGCAGATTTACTGAGCGTGAGACGAATGCATAATTGACTGTTTCTCTACCAGCTCCTGCCTGCTCTTTCCTTTTCAAATATTGAAGTTCTCAAAATTCTTTCTGGAAAACACAGACACACACACACACACACACACACACACACACACACACACACACTCTACAAATCCTACTGTAACTTGTCTCTTTCTCGCGGGTGTGTCCTCAACCGTGGCAAAGTAAACCTCTAAACTGAGACCTGTCTCAGACACTTTCTGGTTTATAGAAAATACTGAAAGGCATAAGGCTACAGCTGCCAACAGTTCTCAGCAAAATTTTAAGTAAAAAATTGAAATATTTTTCCCCTCAAAGCAACAAAACCATCTCTGTGGTGCCATTTTTCTTTTTAGGTCAATGTTTTGTGATAGCCACCTTAAGTAGACATTTGAGAGAGCAGTGGTGGCCAAATCTATCTAGAGTGACTTTATGTAGCACATTAGGATGTCATTAAGCTGTTAGAACACAAAGGATAAACACGTGGTATTTTCAGTATCTAGTGGCTCCCAAGCCCACCCCCAGACTGATAAACTGCTGAACAGAATCAACTAACATTTAAATGTCAAGAAAGTTTACTTACTTACATGGAGAATTAAGTAGGAGTAAAATCACTGGTGGATAATCTACTTACTCTAGGTTGGGATCAGTAACATGGAGCCAATCAACCCATTAACTCTTACCTGTGGCCTGCTGGGGACATTTGCTAAAAGAGAAAACAAAAGAAATCAGTTAAAGGCAGTACTGTCACTCTGTTGGTTCCAACTTTCAGGCACGCAAATGCGTGGAAAGTATCACTCTACATGGGGTAGTAACAGCCCAGCTGTTAAATGGATGCTAATAGGAAAATAAGAAACACATTCTGAGGGTTTTTTCCTGGCTAAATGCTTCAGTGAGAGCTAGTTTTCCCGGTTAGTTTCTCATATCCCATGCGATTTAAGATTTAGTGCATACACTAAAGCATTCAGTGAGTACTTAGTCTTGCAAAAAATCTCATTTCCTATTTAAATCATACCGTATTTGGTTTATGTATCAGAACAGAGCACATTCTACTTACTTTGCTGAGTACTAATTCCGATCAAGGGACCACTGGAGGCATAAGTCTTTGGTTTCTGCCTCCCTTGACACACCCTGGACTTTAAGGCCCAGCCCAGGAAAATGGTGGCCAAGCAATTGCATCAAGGAAAGTGCTGGCCTAATCCTCAGCAGCCTTCTGGACAGGTGGGATAATAAAAGCCCCTTAGATGGGCCCAGTCAGGAATACTAGAGAAGTTAGAATATGGTGTCTAATTCGCTTTTGCACACAGCTCAATTCCTTTTTGGTTTCAGAGCGCACGACGGTGAAGACGATTTGGCAGGCTCTGCAAGGGCGGCCACTACCATCTCTTCTCTAGGCATCTGCTTTTCATCCCTTCTTTTGCTACACAATCATCTTGTTCTTAATGCTGGGGGAAATGGAGGAGATCTGTCCCCAGTAATGTCAACATCTGCTCTTGCTCAAATAGGAGTTGTCCCTAATCATCTGGCATGCTGCACTCCTTCTATCTCTCACTGTTCTATGCTGAGGTGGGGAAAAGACATCAGTGACCATATGCTGTGTGTCAGGAGCTATGTGGGAAAAAAGGAGCAGGAGTGAAGAGTGCCCTTTCTATGACGTCAGGAGGGAAAGTGTGAGCCCCAGTATTTGGGGGAGAAATCGGGCTAAAAGGAGCCTAGTTCTGCCAGATTTGTAAGTTACATCCAGGGGAAAAGAGTGAACCTAGCCGGGTGAGGTGGCTCATGCCTGTAATCCCAGCACTTTGGGAGGCTGAGGCCCGTTGATCACGAGGTCAAGAGACCATCCTTGCCAACATGGTAAATTCCTGTCTCTACTAAAAATACAAAAATTGGTTGTGGTGGTGTGCGCCTGTAGTCCCAGCTACTAGGGAGGGTGAAGCAGAAGAATCACTTGAACCCAAGAGGTGGAGGTTGCACTGAGCCAAGAAGGTGACACCGCACTCCAGTCTCATGACAGAGCAAGACTCTGCCCCTCCCCCCCAAAAAAAAGGGTAGGCCTCCACAGTGTCCAAGGGATAGCTGAATTGAATTATTATTAAGTACACCATAGGTTTACAGACTCTTTTTAAAAGAGACAGGTATGCTTCTCTTGCAAGTAAAATAAGTAACAAATAGCCAAACCCTGGACAGAAGTCTAATCCATTTTGCTCCAAACCAATACTTTTAAACTTACAGCCTTTTATCAAATAAAAGGTTATGGGTATTTGCCTGAAGAAATCACACAAACATATTTTAAAAAGAAAATTTTTGCAGTGCGGTGGGTTTTGGGTTTTTGATGAATGCCACTCAGGCTTAATAAACATAGGCAATTCATAGAGAAAACATGCCTGTGGGTCAAAAATAATTTTGACAGCATTTGTTGGTCTATCAGCAAAACTTAGTTGGCTTACTGCCAGTATTCCATACATTTGAAGGACATAAATGAAAATCGGACAAAAAAGTTTATACCAAAAAATAAAAATGGTTACTGCAGTCAGTGGGAATTTTAATATGTACATTTGTTAATTGGCAGTACAGTTAAACTCCCTTCCTTAACTCCTTGCCAGGTAGTGATGGAAATGCCTTCTTCTCTCTGCTCTAAGACTCAACATAAATAATTTAAAAAAGACTTTAAAAGGCCATAATTCAAGGATGCTATCAGGACCAACTGGGTTATTAATTCAGATAAAGGAGTTCTAAAGTGTTATGTGCAACAATATGTAGACAGAGTTAAAAAACTGTAATGTTGAAGTAGGCAATTTGCAGAATTAGGATTTATGAAGACAGAGTTTCATTTTAATTCCAAGATTGCCAAGAGTGGAAATTCATTTGAGGCCATGCTAATTTTTAATCCACAAAGGATCAGAAGTCAAGATTAACATGCAGATCAATTCATTGCATGCTGGCGACAAGCAGTTTTAAAGTTCTCATTAGTGAGAGGGGCTCAAGGGACTGGCTTGGCATTGGGAGGGTGCCAATCCGATTTGTTTAGATAAATTCTCCAAAGGTGGTTGGTAAGCTTTGGGAATCACAAAGGCTTATTAAAATATTTGCTGGCTGAGCAACTTCAAAGAGACAAAAGAACAAATGAATCCTACAGAACCTTCTGAGTACTATCTGGGAATGCTTCAAGGAAACCTTCCCAGCAAGAAAATGTAATCATTCACGCAAGTCAGAAACATATTGGGACAAGGCGTGATGGCTCACACTTGTAATCCCAGCACTTTGGGAGGCCAAGATGTGTGGATCACTTGAGGCGAGGAGTTTGAGACCAGCCTGGCTAACATCGAGAAACGCCATTTCTACCAAAAATATAAAAATTAGCTGGGTGTGGTGGCATGTGTCTGTAGTCCCAGCTACTTGGGAGGCTGAGGCATGAGAACTGCTTGAGCCTGAGAGGTGGAGGCTACAGAGACCTGAGGTGGTGCCACTGAACTCCAGCCTGGGGAACAGAGTGAGACTCAGTCTCAAAAAAAAAAAAAAAAAAAAAGAGAGAGAAAGAGAGAAAGAAACATGCATTAGGCACCAAGTCTACCTTCCATGGAGATTTCTACTGTGTATCAATTTTTAAAAGGTTTAATCATTACAGGCAGAACATGAAAATACATATCAATTTTACAAATAAGTCAATTCAGCTTCTATTTTTATGAAAAGTTGTCCCTATCTTGTATAAGTTTTTAATGCCAGAGAAAAAAATGTGAATAGCAGAACTTTCAGAAGCCGAAAATAATAACACGGATATTTCAAAGGATTCTAAAATACATTCTTCATCATTTCATACATGGATGTGCTTGAATTTTTGAAAAGAAGACATGACTAGTAATGCTCATTCAGAAAACTATAAATATTACAAATATTTGTGAATGTGCAAAGTTAAGACTATGAGAACATGAAGCCAGCTGCTCCAAACCAACAGCTTTTTATCAAATAGAAGGCTATGGGTATTTGATCTACAAACCTATTTAAAAGGAAATCATTGCATTTCGGCAGGTTTTTCGTTTTTGACAAATGTGATTCAAGCATAATAAACATTAAGGAATCTCAGGGCTCCATAAGCCACTCTCTGAACACTGAGAATGGCACAGCTGAAGAGGGGACCAATGCAGGGGAGAAGATGAACCTCTGTGATATGGGCCCCACTGAAAGTACTGTGTATACTCCTCTCAGGAACCAGTATCAATGAATAGCTAACAAGATTCCCAACCAATAGGAATTTTATACTTGCCTTTAAAGGGAGGCCATACAAAACACACACACAGTTACCTCTTACAATTCATTTTTGCTCTAAATTGTGATTATTTAGTTTTCACAATGTTCTGTTTTAAAACCACATGAGTCAATCTTTTGTAAAATCTAGATGTCAGAATTTACTTTGAGAAAGATTTAAGAATGAATTCTTTAGAAAATGGAACTTGTAAAAATCACACTTTTTAGAGTAGAATTTTTAATATGGAAATTATATATTTTATATTTATTACAAGGTATATATTGAAACACATTTCCCAACCTGTCACTCCCAACTTTTAAAATTGAAAATATTCACCATAATATTAAATAAAAACTTCTAAACACACCTTGATGTACAGAATTTGCTTTTAACTGATTATTAAGGTATTTAGGTAAGCTTAACTAACAATTTCCTTTCAGAATAATTCTGGTGCATAAGGCTATGATGAGATTTTATTTAGTCACTAAGTAACAGACAACTGAAAATCAAAACCTCTAAATAAAAATTAGACCTTGAATTACAATTAATAAAAAAAGATTTAATCAGTTTATCTATTACGGTGGTTACACAGCCTAGAAAGTAAGGAACAATTTGGTAGCAGGTGCACATTCACTGACCCTCTAAAGCTTTTGTGAGACTCTACAGGGCCGAAAGTGTGTCTATATGTGTGCACATGTCTGTGCACACCACACGCACACATGTACTTTTGAGGGTAGGGAGGTGGGTGTGGAGATTGACACACTGTAAATGTGATTCTGCAAACTTTGAGAAGCATTATAGTAGAACTACAAATAAAAACCTGGGCAACAACACACTGGCAAAATACAAATAGATATATTCATGTGCTGATAGAAACCATAATATAATCTTTAGGCAAATATTCCTGAAAATTCGGAAAGAAATATATTTTATTTTGTTGTTGTTTTGAGACAGAGTCTCACTCTGACACCCAGGCTGGAGTGCAGTGGCACGATCTCAGTTCACTGCAACCTCAGCCTCTCAGGTTCTAGTGGTTCTCATGACTCAGCCTCCTGAACAGGTGAGTTTACAGGCTTGCATCACCACACCTGGCTATTTTTTTTTTTTTTGTATTTGTAGTAGAGATGGGTTTTCATCATGTTAATCAGGCTGGTCTCGAACTCCTGACCTCAAGTGATCCACCTGCCTTGGCCTCCCAAAGTGCTGGGATTACAGGCATGAGCCATGGCACCCGGTCCAGAAGTATATTTTAAATAGCTGTTTTCATAGTCTGCTAATAATGACATTTTAAAAATTACAAAGCCATATAAAATGAAGAATAATTTTGAAATGAAGTCAACATGTCTTATTTATCTACACCCCTGATAATTGATGATCTCTTTTTCCTCATTTTGAATAGCATTTTCTAACAATATGATAGAAAAGGGTAAAATAAGAGGCTATGCTTTACATGAATTCTTATTGTAGTGACTGCCCTGGATTTAAAATCAGTTTGAGAGTAAATCACTCTGAAATTACAAATAATGTCTTCATATACTTTCAAAGGTTATTTAAAATATAATTGTAGCACTAAGTAATTTATACATATATATACTTGTATGTGTGTATATACACATATTTAGCAGTATCACTAAGTAATACATATATATACTTGTATGTGTGTGTATATTTAAATATATATAAATTTATATTCATATAAACATGTGTGTATATATTTATATACATTTATATAAATGTTATATATTTATATAAGCATATAAACTTGTATGTATGGATATATATTTATATAAACATATATACTTGTATGTATGTACATATATTTATATAAAAGTAATTTATACATATATACTTATGTGTGTATATATATTTAAATATATATAAATTTATACTCATATAAATTTATGTGTATATATTCCTATACATTTATATAAATGTTATATATTTATATAAACATATATACTTGTATATGTGTATATATATTTATATAAATAATTTATACATATATACTTGTGTGTGTGTGTGTGTATGTCTATACACACACACACACACATATAAGTAATCTGTTTCTGCTAGAAACACCAGAAGTGTTTTAGGTGAGAGCCCAGCCAAAATTGCAAGGTGGCAAGATGCTGAAGACAAAACATTTAGAAAAACTGAGTAAGTAAGAATCATTATATAATTTCCCCTGGATTTGGTTATTTTTTGGTGCTTGGTTGTTCAGATGGAAATTTCAAAGGGTCCTAATCTATGACGCCTTAAACTGTTTGGCCTTTCTACAATGACTATTTTATTCCATGGGAAAAGAAACCAGCAGGAATAAAATGGGAAAATCTGAAAATAATCTCTTTCTGTACTAGAGTCTCACAACACTGGAGAACAATATTTGAAGAAAAGAGGAAATTACACTAGAAAGGTTATTTTCATGTCTTCTTTGGCATGTCACTGAGAGCTCTTCTTTGAACTAAGATGTGTTCCTTACAATAGCTTGCATAGAGGAGGATATTTTCTTCTTCAAACCAGACTTGTTCTTTTATTTGCCTTCATTTTATCACCTCTTGGGCATATTGAAAAATCTCGAAGAACAGAATTGCGTTGCAACTGTACCCCTGTGACTTGATAGTATCTAGGTTGAGCTTCATTTTCTTTATCAACATATATAATGTTGCCTTATTTTCAGATAATATTCAGTCCTGTTTCTAATAAGGTTTTTGTTATCTTAAGGAAGAAGACCAAGGGCCACATGCAGAAGAAGGGAAGGAACACGCACAGCTGTGGTGCTGTGATCTTTCATACTCACGGCAGCAAGATGGAAATGTGCTGTGGATCTGTTCCATGACCTCTGTGAGATCCGTGCTGGTATCGTGCGGTGGGGCCAGCAGGTCCTCTCCCGCTGTGACAGCAAATAAAGAGAACAACAAAGCTTCTCAAATTAATGTCTAGCCTTCCACAAAAACCCCAGTTCAGGAGAAAGTACTTCTACCAGCCTCTAAATATCAATGTGAAAAGAGTACCCACTGCAAAGGACAATTTTATGGGAATAAACTCAAAACATTTTTGCTTGAGTGTTGGTAATATAATTTTACATCATTAAAATGTACTAGATGTTTGATCGTGTAGAAAGAATCCACACACCATGGGACTGAAAAACAGGAGAAAAACAAGTAATATAGTCTTATTATTTCAATATTTGAATTAGAAATCTACTATTTTGCACTAGTTATTTTTTCCTACAAAAAAAAATTACACCAATTTTCCTTTTCCGTCCTCCTTTCTTTTTGGAGACTTCAGCTTAGGCCAGCTTATCCTGCCACAAAAGTGAAGGTGTCTTATTTAAGATACTTTTCACTAGGATGTGTTTTTTTATTCTATAATCTATAGTCAAAATAATTCTCTTATTTAAAAAATATGAAAATAACCTTAATATTTTAATCTTTTTCTGATTAATGTACCAAAAGATATCCCACAAACAAATTAATTTGGTTACAATATATAGTTCTCAGTAAAATTCTAGAATTTTAATTTCATGGATGACAAAATGTCATTGACGAACACCTAATTTACGAGGTGCCAGGCTGTTCTAACCATTTTAGACATAGTCATTCTTCACTCCCCTCACAAAACCCTATGACATGGCACTACTATTACCCTCCCCATTTCACAAATAAAGAACGTAAAGCATGGAAGGTTCTACGGTTTTCCCAGAATTACACAGCTTCTGAGTGGCACAATGGGAATCAGAATTCAGGCAATCTGAATCCATATTATACTTTTAACCACTCTCCAATATTACCTTGAAATATGAGCTAATTTCGAAATTGGATAAATTTCAAAATTGTCTTTCCTCGCATCAGTGACAGGTCCCCATTGTGACCAAGGAGAGACTGCGTGGGACCTCTGCCTCTGACGGAACAGGCAGGACAATGTCTACATGGATTAGGATGAAGAAAAGTGAATAAATGAGTTTCCAGACCTGGGCAGAGAAAACTATAATGTTTGGTATGATATTATTAGTTCTGAATATGCACAAATGTAACATTTTAGAGACAGAAAGTGTACCAAAAAAGTAATTCACAAAGCAAATAATGTCTTGCTCGTTCTAAAAGGACAGTGTGGTTTTTTTTCATCTTTCACCAAAATTCAATCGACTAGTATAGATTATATAAACAAGTGCACTATAGCTTATTCGAAAATGTTTGCTTTTTGACATTGTTTAAATCGATCTGCACTTTTTTAAGACCAAATGCAAAACTCTTTTACTTCCTAAGGCACCAGTGTGTAAGAATGTTACTTAACATGAAACACAAGCAAATGGCAAGGCACAAAGCCGACTTGGTGGCGGAGCAGTGTGCTGGGGACACCCACCTGCCTGGTGGAACTGTGCGCCGGCGGCATCTGGATCAAGCGAGGAGCTCAGTGAAGAATGCTGAGGAGAAGCCCACGGGGAAACTCCGTTGATTCGGGAATCAGATTCAGGCTGGAATCACAGTCAGAGGTTAAAGCAGAGAAAGGATTCAAGTAACCACAAGGAACAACATTTTCTATTTAAATTTCCCTCCTTCACCATGGATAATTAAATCAGAGAGAGTTCTTTGCCTTCAAATGTTTTCAACATATTTTAGCATCAGCTGGTGGGGGCTTTGGCCCTTCCCTTTCTGCTTGGGCACTCTGAAGAACCTACTTGGTTATGCTGCAAAATTCATTTATCAACATCATTTTTACCCCTCAATTTTTCTATTATTTTAATGTTAATCAAGTGAATACAGACGCATATTTCACTCATATTTTAAACATCAGCACTGGGTTTCTTATACAGTAAATTTATCCAATTTCAAAATTAGCTCATATTTCAAGGGAATATTGGAGAATGGTTAGCAGCATGATTATGGATTCAGATTGCCTGGATTCTAATTCCCATTCTGTCTCTCAGAAGCTATGTAATTCTGGGAAAACTGTAGAACCTTCCATGCTTTACGTTCTTTATTTGTAAAATGGGGAGGGTAGTAACAGTGCCATGTCATAGGGTTTTGTGAGGGGAGTGAAGAACGACTATTTCTAAAATGGTTACAACAGCCTGGCACCTCGTAAATACTTCGAAAATGCACTCACACAAATCTTTGAAACAGTGATGGATACGCTGACAAGTGCATGGTTGAATTAGAAAGTGTGAGCCACCATATAGGGGATGCAGATGTTACAATTTGTTCATGCAGATTTTTCCATTAAATCTATATTAGTTGAAGCCAGGTAGTTCTGCCAGTTTTTACTATCAGAGTTGAATTTTCCATCTCCTTCTGGCATTCATCATGCTGAATTGTTTAGAAGAGATAAGCGCTCTGCGGTCTTGGATATAGAGAGCCATTTGGATATCAGCTATTTCTAAAAGCATTACTGCGAGATTCTCAAGGCACACGAGCCATTAGGCAGCACTGTCTAAAGGGATGGAGGGAGTAGGGGAAGGCAAGGGTGAACAGAAAAGCCTTTTGCTCTCCTGTGAGCATCAACAAGCCATAGCAAACAAAGATTTTGAGCACAGCTTCCTTCTAGAGTGATTCCATCTATGTTAACACTAACACTTCATATTCTAAACAAGAGATTGCAAGAGAAAATCCATCCCTTACACAGCACCGTTCGGGAACTTCAAGGTCACAGAATGAAAAAGGGAACTTTTTCAATGCATGTGGCTGGCACTAAGTAAGACTCAAACATTCCAGAGGGCTTCAAGAAAGCCAGCTCTTGGGTCACTCTTGGTAAACTCTTACTTTCCAAATATGTGGGATTGGGAAGCCCCGAAGTAAGTCTTCCACTGAACGGTCTCACCCAAATTCTAAAACACTGAGAGACCTAGAGAAAAGTGTATGGTCAAATTATAAAGAGTAGGTAAGGCCAAAATAACTGTTTTGAATTATTCTGACAAGTTAAAAAGACTGAGAGCAACTGTGAAAAGACATTTTTCTAAAATTTGAGGGAATCACTGGAGAGAAAGTTGTTCCTGCTGTGAGTCAATACATCATTTCTGTAGAAAGGCACTCCTATTATACCACCTAGGGGCTCCACACAGCACAGGCTAGAGAAAAAGACAAAGGATGACATGCATGTTGATGTCAGGGATTCTTCAACAGAGAGGAGCTCTGGGCCCCTGAGCTGGGACTCTATGCTCTAGCACCTGCTGCAAAGGTCTCTCCATCACTAGTTCTGAGACATCACATCTATTCCTAACTGTTATGTGCATCAAGTACTTAATTCCCTATAGTGTGCTGTCACTTTATATATGAAAGTATTTTGCTATGGTCTCTAACAAGATGGCAGGCATCAGAAAAAGGCAGAAACTGTATTGATGCTTCTTTTATATTCCAAAGTACAGTTTCAAAACTGAATGCAATAACCATTGATGAGTTATAGAATCAGTTTGGTAGGTCCTGACCAGCATTAAGAAAGAAAAATAGAAAAAAGAAAGAGAGGGAGGAAGAAAAGGAAAAGAATAGAAAATAAGAGCTGGCATTTCTCTATAAAGGCGGGTATTATTTTGTATTATCCATACATGTATGTATTCATCATAATGTAAATTGTATTTCTTATCATCCAGAAAGCTTGCAAGCAACTCCCATAAAACATGGTCCAGTGTCAGGAAATAATAGTAGCAAATTAATAACCTCTTTTACTCAATTTCTTAAAAATAGAAAGTAATGATTCTTGGAGTCAGCATTCTTGCCTCACTGGAAGAAAGCTTTAGAATGCCCGTTTCGGGTCTCTTGCGGTTCCTTAATATCCACAGATGCTTCCCATGTATAAATCAGGAAGATATATGTCATAGGATATTTTCCCTCAAACGGTTCAGAGCTGAGGTTCAGTTCAGTGTTAAAGAAGATTGGGAAATTCCACTGTAAGCTGGGCAAACACAGTTTTTGTGCCAGTGAGGATTTATATGCTTACATGTAAAAGGAAATTTCTAAGCCAGTCTAAACTAACTACGGAAGTAAGACATTGAAAGTGGACTTCTCTGCCTTTCCTGACACCTGGACCAAGTCCCAGGGCAGCAGACAGGTGGCCTGGGGAGGTGTGACACTGAATTCTACACACCCTACCTGCTCCAGCAGCTGTCGGAGGCGGTGGAGCTGAGACTCCAGCTGTTTATTGTGATCTTCTAAAATCTGCATCCTAGCCTCCAGCCGACCTTTGTGCTGTCTGAGGAGTTTTGCTTCTGCTATAAGCTCTGAATCCTCAGATGTGTGATGGGGAGATACAATCGACTCTGGCGGTGAACCGACAGGGAGGCCCCTTCGGAGGTGCTGGTCCTTCAGCTGCTCATATTCCACCTGCAGATTTCTAATAGAGAAAGGGGCAAAAAACAGAATGACTACCATGTATATTATCGTCTCTCCAAAATGTGCACTTCCAATTTAGCTCATGCTAGTTCTTCTTATATGAACATGTGTATTAACAGTAAGATGAGCCTTCATGAATAAAATCATAGTTTTCAGCAAGTGTCCCAGTAGACATCATCACTGAACTCTCAAATGCTGCTGTATCTGCAACCAGCATTCCAGTTTGTTAATATCCTCTAAAATTTTCACTCCATCATGATTTCTTAGGCAGTAGTCTTGAAAAGAGAATGAATGGCGGCTACAGTGAAATTCATATGAAAGAAAGGATGACATATTTCCTTCTCCCAGGCCTAGCACACCTTTGTTCTTCCTCCAGGTCAGCAATGATCCTTTCCAGTTCTCCACGTTCTTCCCTCTCTACCGACTTCAGGATCTGAGCTGGGCTCTGTGGCTGGCTCACTGGGGACTCTCCTCCAAGTGTTTGGCAATACTGCTGGATGAGGGCGTGCTCGTCTTCCCTAGCAAGACAAAGGAAACAGACCCAGAGGCTCACACCTGGATGGTGATGTTTTTAGACACAAAGGAAGTAGAAATGACGATGGACAGGAGAGTGGCAAGGCTAAGTTTGTCTTAGAGCTCAGTGTCTCCATGACCTCCCTTTTAACACTCTAGGAAGAAGTTCATCTAGCAGAGCATGTATATTATATGAGCCAACATTTCAGGCTTTACCTTCATCTAACAGCTCTCTCTCAGAAACTTCAGAGGGGATATCTTACTCAGCAGAAAAAAAAAATTAAGGAATGACATTTAATGTAAAAGATACTGTAGACAAATCAATTACTGCATGTCTAAAGAGTTGATTAAAAGACTACTGAATAAGAATAATCTGACTTCACTGACTTTAGAATTTGGTTGAAAGTAACACTGAAAGGCTTTGTAACCCATATGATGGGATTTATGATCCTTATGTTCTTTTATTTAAACAGTTCAGCACAAATTATAATTACAGATATTTATAACGTCTCTACAGATATTTTACCTTTTATTATTAGCAGGTAATTTTTAGGGTTGATCATTCTGCATTAGAACAAGAAACTACATTTAATGCATGTGGGTTCTCCCACTAATTTAACTACTTGTCTAATGAACTAGACAGAGTAGTAATGTGGTTGAATTAGTAACTGATATAAGTGAACATCTAACAGAGTTGATATATTTATGACAAGAAAATGCTTTCTAGCAGACTTGGAATTTCTTCTCTTCTTCTAACAAGAGAGATTCAGTGAGATCTTGTAAATGTGCAAATACCAGATCTCCTGGCTAATGCTAGCAGGGCAGCCTGTTAGCAGATGGCACCTTGTCTGCTTGATGGCTTTTGGTAAACAAGTGCTGGAATTGATGGCTTTACAGGATAAGGCAGCAGGAAATCCTGTCAGTTATGAAGCTATTGGGGTATTAAATGAAGCTACCTCATGACTGAAGCAGCTCCTTCCTGTATAAGCGATGGGTGCTGCAAACATTCCTTAAAGACCTCTTCTGTTACTCTGGAGTCAGAGTGCATCCTCTTGCAGCCAGAAAAAACCTGGTGTGTGGCACTGGGAGTCCTGGGCCTCTCTCAGCTTCACCAGAGCCTTGAGATTACCTGTGCCCTTGAGCTGATGAGTAACACCTGATGCTGGGGAAGAGCTCTGGTACTTGTAATTCTGATTTGAAAATTCATCTCCGTGTTACTGCAGTTTACTCTAACAAAGAAGGGACTTGAAATTGTATCAGAGAGTTGGTGAATTCCTAGAAAAGGTTTGTCCTGAGCATTGAAATCAGAGAGACAGATGAAGCAAATGAGAAAACTGAATGCTTTGGCATTCTGCTTGTCAAACAGCCAGAGCAAAAGACGTGCCACCTGTTGATTTATTTTACTTTCTTCATCAATAAACCTCCTCTCTCTCTCTCTCTAGAAATATATAGATATAGATACATATATGTGTGTATGTGCATACATATATATTTAAATAAAGGTTATACATTTTGGTTAAGACCACAATATAGTAATAAATATGTAACCTGACCTTCCCGCTTTTATTAAATAAATTTTAAAAGAGGGTGGGGTGGGACCCTTACAACACACTTAGAAACTGGAAATAAGAAACGCGGATAGGTTAAGGAGTGAAGTAAGCTGCGCCACCATCCTTTGATTCCCTTTCCTGAGAAAATGCAGCATCACTGGGAAATAAAGGGAGAAGCCTCTAGAAGAATGCCATGCTTGTTCCTGGGTTTAGAAGGATGAGAAGAAGAGAGTATGGATGGTACTACACCACTGCAGAGAGCAGCATTTGAAAGCAATCCAAAAGCTCCCCAGTTGCCCATGTGGCTAAATCAGACAGAAATCTGGCAGTGCGATACAGGTGTGTGTATGTGCATATTTTCCTTTAGGAAGTAAATGGCCAACACCCTAAACCTAGCTGTGTCATCAGGGCAGAAGCAAGCGGTGAGACTAACGGCTCAACACCACTGGGACACCAATGAGCTATAGTGAGTAACTTAATGCAAAGTCAGTGATGCCTGGAGGCACCTTACCAAGTTCATGTGAAGAGGGAGGTCATAAAAGACAACAAAATAACAGCTCTAACATATGGACAGGACAAATGGACAAAGTGTTAAGATATAATAGATAGAAAACAGCAAAATAAGAGTTCGGTAGAACATCTTGTAAATATTTCTCATTTATCAGAATGAAAAAGATCTGAGTATAGAAACAAAAAAGACAGAGTATCCAAAAATAATAAGAAAAGAAGCACGTTCATATGTATCCATGGAAAATGTCTGTATTTTAAAGATAAAGTATCACAAGCAAGCTGCCAGAAATCAAAATAAAACAGTAAATCAGGTTCAGAGGTGGAAAAAGGTTTAGCCTCTTATTTTCCATAATATTAAATGTCCAAAGACAATGGAACAATATGTAGAGTCCTCACCTACTGATTTATATGACCAGCCAGGTCAACCATGTGTACAGGCAAAGCACTTTGCCCACACAGCAAATGAAAGAAAGAATGAGCACGGATAATGCAAAATACAACTAAAATAGATGGTAATCTCAGGTGTTACAATAAATAAGAGGTAACCTGATTCTCATATTAGTTAAAAAGCAATTGGTTGTCCAAACACAGTGGCTCACATCGTAATCCCAGCACATTGGGAGGCGGAGGTGGGCAGATCACTTGAGGTCAGGATTTTGAGACCAGCCTGGCCAACATTGTGAAACCCCACCTCTACTAAAAATACAAACACTAACTGGGTGTGGTGCCAGGCACCTATAATCCCAGTTACTCAGGAGGCTGAGGCAGGAGAATCGTTTGAACTCGGGAGGCTGAGGTTGCAGTGCTTTGAGATGGTACCACTGCACATCAGCCTGGGTGTCACAGTGAGACTCTGTCTCAACAACAAAAAACAAAACAAACAAACAAAAAATTAGTTGTATGATATCTATCAATAACATACCTAAAAGAAAATAAAAATGAAAAGAAAACATTTAAAATAAGAACTAATATAAGGACAACAGGAATTAAAAGAAAACTTGGGTCCCCTAAGCCACCTGGGCTGATCTTGTGGTCATGACTTGACAACAGATCCTGGCTTGGGGTTTCTCCAAGATCACAAACCACCATTGTGCCCTCAGAACATTTATGACAGCATCTGTCCTGATGAATGAACTTTAGTGCTTAATATTAATACCAAGTAAATTTTTGTTTTAAAGATTTGGAGAATGACTATCCATAGTGAAACCAGCCAAAATTAGATTTGAGACATTTTGGTTGTCAAGATTCATATAGATTCATTTATCCGGGGAAGTTGATAGAGTTTAACATGATTGTAATTGTCATCCCCACTATCATTACATTCTTTCATTATGGTATCTGGAAGAGTTAAGGCAATTTTCACACAAAAAATAATTTAGCAATCATTTACATAAAACATACAATTTTGGTGTTAAGTGTTTTGCACAGATTATTAGGTCTAAAAGTTAAATATAAAAATAGATACATTCTGGTTCTTAATTACATATAGTAAAAACCAAGAATAAACTGTTTAAGTGCAGATAAAACATGAAGTACCAGATCAGGGACATTAAACATCAATCGCATGTCTTGTGCTAAAATAGAAAATGTTGCAAAAATAATAGGTTGCACCAAGGAAATACCATTAGATAGAATATAATCATACTACAGTTAAGTCACACATAGTAAATAGTATCTAGGTTACAAAATTAGTATATGTCAGATGACAAAAAAACTGTGATTCATTCAATGAGCTTTTGAAAGTAGATAAGACATAAATAAAAATAATTATTGTTTTCTTTTAAAGATTGTTCTGTTCCAGGCTTCTGATCTGCAAACTGCAATGCTTGTATAAACCACAGCCAGCCTCCCCGTTCAATCTTTCCAGTGTCACCCAAGGGCAGATGGCAAATGGAGCGAGACATCCTGATAGTCATGGCCCAAGGAATTGTCGTCCTTGAGTTCCAGCTTCTGAGATTCCCCAGAACTGTCATGAGTCTTATCCTGTCCTGAGATGTTGTTGCTCAATTTTTCCTTCAAAGATATGTAGCATTCTTAAAATCAATTTCCTTTAAAATTTTTCACAGTAAATTGAATGTACTCATATATCTAATTGCAATAGACTCATAGATCTAAATGTACTCATATATCTAATGGGTACAATCACGGACACGTCATTTATCTTTCTGGATGTCAGGATCCTTGTTTATAAAATAGGTCTCATAATAATGCCCATCCTAGGGGTTGATGGGAGATTATTTGTTTCCTTGCATCATCTAGCACCTTGAGGTCATCTGCATTCCCCATTTTCTTTTTTTTTTTTTTTTTTTTTTCAGTTTTTTTTTTTTTTTTTTTTTTTTTTTTTTTTTTTTTTTTTTTTTTTTTTTTTTTTTTTTTTTTTTTTTTTT